CCTCAGCTTCTCAGCTTCCCAGCTGCCTCGAGCAGCCTTGTTCCTCCACACCCTCTCCCTCACAGGCCCAGAAACAATGGAGCCAGTCAGCCATGGGCTGAAACCGTGAGCCACAATAAATCTTTCCTCCCTTCAGTTGTTTTCCCCAAGAATTTTGTCACAGCAACAGAAAGCTGAATAACAGAAAGAAAGGGAAAAGGTGAGAGAATGATAGACAATACAAACTCTCTCTCTCTCTCTCTCTCTCTCTCTCTCTCTCTCACACACACACACACAAACACACACACAAGTCCTTATCATTTAAAGGGCTTTGTAGTGAGTTGGATGGCAGCCCTCCCAAAACATTATGCCCCTATCCTACACCCCTGAACCAGTGAATGTGACCTTATTTTAAAAAGGGGCCTTTTTCGATGTAACTAAATGAAGGATTTTGAGCCTTGGGTTAACCAGTGGCCCTAGACCCAATAACAAAGAGACAGAAAAGACACAGAGACGAGAAGGTTGTGCTGTGAAGACAGAGGAGGCAGAGATTGGAGCTGCGCAGCCCCGCTGCCCTCGCCATTAATCGGGGTGGGGAGGGACACCTCCAGGAACTGCAGGTGGCCTCACACCTCCCAGAGAGAGCCTGGGCGACAGCAGGGAGACCCTGTGACACCTTGATTCTGGACTCCTGGCCTCCAGAACCATGTGAGAACCACTTTCTGTTTTAAACATGTTGTTTGTGGCTGTTTGTTATAGCAACCTAGGAAGCTAATACAGGCTCTCAAGAAAACTAACAGGTGGACAGACGCCAAGTCCTGGAAGGTCTTGCATTATCAAGAGGTATGTTCCTGGTTAGAGACATGAACAGGATCCCACAGGCAGGGAACACTCGAAGGATAATCTTTGCCAGTGTCATTGTCGCCACGGTTTGGGCCAGGAGCAGGCACCTGAGTTTGTCTGTCCTGGGCAGAAGTCTATAGGCAGACCTGCTTCTCTGAGGGGACACGGCCTCCCTCCATCCAGGTCCTGTCCTGCTTCCTTCCTCGCCTGCTAAAGGGGTGGGGGGAGGTCCTGGCTCTGTCACAGCCATGAGCAAGAAGCAATCCAATCAAAGCAAGAGAACTCCAGAGAGGCACAGAACCCCCAAACGAATAGTTTTTAATATCTTTATTCATTCCTTCGAAATTTTAATGTCTTCATATGGCACCCAAGTTTTGTACTTGGCCTTGACACCTGTCTGGTGCTGCCTGTATCCACATTAGCTATTTGGAACAAGAACAGAACTGGTTCAGACTGATTCCGGTTAAGAATAAATTTATCAGGAAAAAAAAAAACAAGCTGAGAACTGGGCTCAGAAGATACACAAGAACAAACCGGGATGGACCCAGCACCATCACAACCAAAATCAGGCCACAGAACCAACCAGGTCTAAGGGCTCCATTTCCACCACAGCCAAAAACGGCATCGTGTCTTCCTGGGTCGCAGCAAGGCTGCCCGCCTTGCCCACCCTAACCAAGGCTTCCCATTCCTGCAGGGAGCATCAGAGTTCCATGGGACAAAACCTGACTGGCCAAGTCCAGGTCAGCCCAGGTCAGCTAAGGACAGGACATCTGTCTTTCAGGTGGGCGTTTCCTCCAACCAAGACCCTTGTGGGGAAACTTCCTAATCATGAATAAGTTTTTAATATCTACTATGCCTTCTTTCGGAAGGAAGCTGAAAACAAAAATAATAAAATTCGGTGATTGTCCGTCAGTAATTTAGATTATTATGCAACAGTGCCCCCTAGTGACATATTTTGGTAGGTTAAAGAAAAACAGGTAACTACAAGCCCCATTTAAAAAATAATAATAATAATAATCCTGGTAAAATTCAATCCTACTTAATTTGGGTGGTTAATTAGACCACGTACAAAGCAAGAGAAGATTCCAAAACGAAACTGTAGGGGAGAAAGAGAGAGAGAGAGAGAGAGAGAAAACTGTGACTTATGATGGAAAAACGGCCCTGTGATTAGAGTGTCAGCAGCATCATCTCTGCCGTGACCCCTGAGTGTATCTTTGATGAGAAGACCTGATCCTTTGAAGCCCTCACAACCCTGCACGCCCTCAGCTGAGCTGTGCTGAGGTTTCGCAGTGAGCCTTGCAGTTCAGGGCAGTGGAGCCTGAGCCACCTTGGCGTCTGGCAACGGGCTTGTGGAATAGATGGAGAGGCCTGAGCCTGGAGAGCACGTTTCAGTAGAGCGCAGCAGCCCGAGCAATGGAGGAAAACACCAGCCAGGTGAGGTGGGGCATGTTTGTAACTCCCAGTTTCAGTAAATAGCTTTTTTTAAAAAAAATTAAGTGAATAAAATATTTATTAATTTTCTTTACTTCCCTTAAAGTCAGTTATATGATGTCTCAACTGTTTGTTAAAAATATTTCTTTATTTTATGATCTAAAAATGAATGTAATTGCCAGTTGTGGTGGCACATGCCTTTAATCCCAGCAGCTCTGAAGGCTGAGGCAGGAAAATTGCAAATTCAAAACCAGGCTTAGCAACTTACGGAGGCCCTGTCCCCAAATCACAAATAAAAAGGCCTCAGGATGTGGCTTGGGGGTTAAGCACCCCTGGGTTCAATCCCAGTATGAAGGAGAAGCGGAATGCTACGTTTCCACCCCTTGCTGTGTATTCTTTGAACAAAATTTTCATAGAAGCACCTCTCCGGCCCCAGCACTGGGAGGGGTTGGTGCTGGGCGCAGACATCTGCTGGGCAAGCCCCTGTGGAGGGATTTTAACCTGGAGCTAAACGACAAGAAGGAGCCCTATGCTTGAAGCAGCAGAGCAGTGCGCCAGTTGTTCAGGCAGGGGGTGGAAGCAGTGTGGACACCCTGCTGAGCTGAGACGCCTCTTCTGACACCCTTCCTAAGGAGAGTGGCTGGAGGCACAGGCTGCAGCCTGACAGCTGACAGCCTCTTCTCATCTCTTGCCGCAGTCCGGCTGCAGCAAAATAATGGGGGGGGGGGGGGCGCATGACGAGCAACTTGTGTAGATTGATACAGCAGGAGTGGGAGCCATTTATTGTAGGACAACAGAGGTATTTATACATTCCACACAGTTTATCTTAATTAACATAAACTCGATACAGCAGTCAACCAATAAGAATCGCCACACTTAATGGCTCGCTGGTGTTACTTCTCAAACCACTCCCTCTGGCAAAATGCCAGGTGCCATCCTGACTTGTTTACAGACTCTAACAATCTCTTCTGTGTTGCTTGCTCCTGTGCAGCTCTGAATGGGGCTCTCTACCTCTCTGCACTTCCATTTCTTCATATATATGTGAAGGACCCCAAGGCCCCAGGCCCAACATTAGGAAAACTAACCCCTGTGCCCTGAAGCTGCAAGATGTTCCCTTACCCAACCCCCATGTCAAAACCCCACCAGCTGCACGTAGCACTTCAAGTCTCGCACAATGTTACCACAAGATGTTCCATATAGATAACCCCAGAAGGGCCAAACTTGAGCAAACAGGGTAAAAACAGGAACTAAAAGGACAGGATGCAATTTTATGTTTTTTCTGAGAACTAAAGTGGGAAAACAAGTTTACCCCCCTAGGTGACTCAACTGCTGAATTCAGAGGGACCAATAGGAAGGCTGTTGCTGTGCTAAGCTAAGACCTAACCCACCTGTTCCCTATAAAAAGATCTATACCCCAAAGCCCGGTGTGCCAGTTCACCGAAGCTCCGGCTGAGGTTTTGCTGTGCACCCGCAGGCGCCTGTGTGAGAATAAACGCCTCCTGCTTTTTGCAGCCAGTGTCTCGTGTGGTTCATTCCGGGTTTGGGATCTGTGGATATTTCATATGATGGGGACAACCACAGCCTTCCTCACAGGACTGTCATGAACATCAACATGTTCAGGAGACTCCCTTGCAAAGGGACATGTCCCACAGGCCAGCCTCACTGTCAGCTCAGATTTAGTATTATCCCTGTTTAGAATTATTGTTCTTAAAAGAAATACCCCAGAAACGTCTGTGTCAGAGGTGGGGATTTGGAAACAGAACTTTCCTCCTCTGCTAAGCAGAGACCTTGTTGTGTCTTCAACAGCCAAGGCAGATTCTCTGGAATAATAATACTTTTTAGATGGTATATTTAGAAATAAAATTTAAATCGACTTTTTAATAACAAAAACCCTAATAATGTGCCCTGAGAGCCATGTGCAGCTATTCTTATCTCCAATTGTGAGAAGAAACATCTCAAGCCTCAGAGAAAGTTTTGGTGGGGGTGAAAGGAGAGCACCGTGGGAGGGGAGGTTGGTTTGCTTCCACCAGATGTGGGTGTAGTCAGCACTGAGCAGAATTCGGGGGATGAACTGGAACAGGGAGTTTCCTCAAAGCATACCTTCTCTTCCTGTTCCCTCTGAGCTCAGTCAAGGAGGCCTTTAGAAGTTGCAACCACATGTCATCCGTTTGAAGGAATCCAGGAGACCCAGCAAAGAGAGTGTGTTTTAAAACAAGAGTGAAGAATGGAACACCAAATTCACACACAAAAAGAAAGAGGAGGAGAGGGAGGGTGGGAAGGAAAGAAAGGAAAGAAAGTGGGGGGAGGATCCCAATGCATGAGGACGTGGAGAAGACTGTGGAAAGTCAGACCGTATTTCTGAAGATGTTGGATCACATGATATAAACTGTACGCGTTTTTAATCCACAGAAAGTGGGGTGTGTGCTTGGGGCTCCATTCTCTTGCATCTCCCTTCCCCATTCTCTGGGAGGGAAGAGAGGGGCCTCCCACCAGCTCCTCCTTCAGGCACAGGTGCACAGCCCAGAGGGTCCTTGAGGTGTGGTAGAAAGACCAGACCTTTACAGAGCTGCCTGGGAGACAGCAGATGGCCACTGCTGCTGACACAGCCCCATCTCCTTGCATGAATCAAGGTGTGACCATCCTTTGAGTCTTATCTCCTCCCACCTACTTCTCCCAACCTACCAATATGTTTGCAAATTTCCAAATGTTATTATTTCTGTTCATGTCTAGTAATGTCCGGAAGATACTTGCAAAAAAACTGTGAAATACTTTTAATAAGGTTAAAAGTAGCAAGAAAACTGCTGCCACTGTTTGTTAATTTACCTGAAAAGAAAAATAGAATATTCGGATTAGGTAACTCTCTCATTTTAAAAATGATATATTTTACATTTTAGGGAAGAAGCATAGTTACAGGCAGGTCTGACTAATTTGTTGAATTGAATTAAGTTAGTCCAAGGCCTAGTCTTATTGCATACCATCTCTACTGAACTCTAGGATATAGTTGATTATTTGCTATACATAATCCTCCTATAGGAGACAGATTAAAAAATAAATCACGCATGTAGTAAAAACCTTAGAAAGGTAAATTTCCTTTTTATTGACTCACTGATTTTACTAAAAACTGCCTGATTTTTTTTTTTTTAAAAATTGTTCTTATGAGATTTTTAAACTGTGGGTATAAAGGACCAATCAATTGTATTAATAATATCATACACAATATAATATAAAATAAAATATAATAACAAAAAAACACATTTATAGGGGCTACTGACATCTTAATGCTCTCATATACATCATCTCAATTCTCCAAACAGCTTTTGTTACAATAGATAAAGCACTAAAGGATCAATGAACCTGACATGTTCAAGGTCTCATAAATAGGAAGTTTAAAATCTGCCCATCTGCAACCTGATCTACTGGTATTTCCACCCCCATCATTCCATAAATTAGATCCTACACTGAGCAGAATAGAGTAGATGTTATCTTAAGAATTTATTATTTTACAAGCCAATTTTGTTAGGTACCCATTCAAATTTCTAAATATTCTTTATCATTTCCATGTACTTATATTCTTACCCGTGTATTATATTAAAGAAATTTAAATAATTTCAGGGGGGAAAAAGTGGGAAGGAAGTTTTAAAACTTCTCCTTGCTATGTTTTTCATGGTAGCTCAATAGCTCAACTAGTATAAGACTTTCAAAAGGAAAAAAAAAACTCATGATATATCAATACCAAAATGAAGTTCTTCATTCTATTTTCTAAGATAAAATTTTAATCTGGAGAAGAGAGATCATGAGAATGAGGCAGTACACTGACACCTTAAAGACAGAAAAAGTCCACTTAAAAGTCTTGGTTTTGACCATTTTCAACTGTCCAGGCTTCTACTGTTTTGGGGGGTTAGGCCTGAGCTCATCTTTCTCTCAAGTTGGGTGTACTGAGTTTCCAGGACTTTAAAAGATCCAGCTCACGCCTGGGGATGTAGCTCAGTGATAGAGTGCTTGCCTTGCATGGGCAAGGACCTGGGTTTGATATCCTGCACTGAAAAAAAATCAATATTTATATTCTTATGTAATATCCATCCTGGAAAATGAAGTTCATAGAGCCAAATAACCCTATAAATTAACTAAAATACAAAATCCCAGATTTTTTTTAGACATGTGCACAAACCTTAACACAAATAACCCAGCACATAAGCAATGGAGAGCTTTTCCTTTGGAATTATAATTGCAATTCACAATATTCCCAGTCTCCATCCGCAAGTTGTGAATACTTACTACAAATTTGTGTGGCAAGTGTGTGCCTCGATTGTGAGAGAAGCTCTTGGAGGAGCAGGTTTGGATATCAACATCTTTCTAAAAGCTGGTAGAATGGGTTTATAACCACTTTGGGGGCTTGATGGTCACAGAATGTGTATGTACCAGATATATGATGTCTTATTCAAACACAGTGTTCAATAAATATTTGTGGAGTGAATATATAAATGAATGATGTGTATCATAAAGGACTTTAAGGATTAAAAAATGGCCAGAAACAACAAAGTTCTGCTCCAGTGACCCAGCCAATCCAATCTTCCCACCTTGCTCCATGGAGATCTCAAATTATCCAATAATCCTATGTCTTCCTTGGTTTGTTTAAAAAAAAAAAAAAACAAGCAGCTGACCTCTTCAGAGTAGGGCAAAAACAAATGATACTCCAAAGACCAGGAAAACCTTAGCATCTAGCATTGATTTTTAACCTGATTTTTCTAACTTCCAGGGTTTCTGCTCATTAAAGAGAGGGGAAATGTTGCTTGTAATTTTCAAAATACTTTGCATATTCACTCATTCCAGATGCAAATAACTTTAAAGGCAAAATCACAAGAGGGTATGTGGTGAACAAGGGCCTAGTTACCAAAGGAGGTCACATAAAAATTAAAAAGCACTAAAGAATAAATAGTCCATGCTATCCAGGGAGATGAGCTATGTAACTCAAGAAAAAATTATAACCAAATTACATACACTAATCAGCTTTGCATAACATTTCCGATTCATTTGCATACAATGCAGTTATCCTGATAATTGCTGAACTCAACACAGGCAGCTGGGTCAGTGAGCCTCCAGGGATCATGAGCATCCAGCTTTCTCCCTGTACTTGTATGTGTTCCTTTATGACTGGGACAGCAAACCAACAATCACTCCTGAAACCTGCAGAAGCTGAAAATTTGAAATGAAAGCAATACAGATCTGTATGTGGATAGCATGCAGGTGCCCTCAGATGAACAAGAAACAAGACAATTCTGGGTCAGTGATCCATTTCTAGAATGTTCTATCTGATTTTGTAGTTTTAAACAACACATTTGTTTTATGCTATATAAAGAATTCTTCTTCTTTTTCTCCTCCTTGGACTGGCAGATGAAGGGAACATCTTGAGATTATCTTCCTTGTACCAAAGTCCCCTTGGCTAGCAAGTGACAAGGGATGGATTCTTTCCCTAAGAATGCCCTTGTTTTTAGAGGTAGCCCCCTCTAAAGAAGAGTCTGGCAAGCAGGATAATGGCTGGGTAATCCATAAATCCCTTGGAAATCTGCTCAGAAAAGATTGCCTCGGCTCAGAATTGATGATGGTGAAGCCCGTGTCAACATTGGTCTCTGCCTCCAGCTTCTGAAGGCTGTTTTCCCGGAGGACCTTCATTCTGACCCTGGGCTCAAGTGGAGGATGAAGCTGGGTGCTTGTGACAGAGCTGCTGGCGGGGGATGACCAACCAGGGCTTTTCCATGAAGTGGCGCTAGAGCTGTCTGATGCCCCACTGGGCTCAGGGAACTCCAGAGAACGCACCTTGAACCTCCTGCCCCGGATCCTCTGGCTCCTTGGTTCCAGGGTTCTCTGTGCAGGGACAGGGGTCAGCCTGGAGCTCTGATGGAGCAAGCCAGAATCCAAGGTGGCACTCAGAAAAGAAAGTTCGCGGTTCCTAACACCAGGTTCTGGATTCAACTGGACCTGTGGGACAAGGCAAGAAGGAACAAATGAAACAAGTTTTCCACTACCTAAGTGCCAAGAGCACCCCGCCTTATTTACCCATTGCCACGCCATGAATACAGCAGACTTTCGGTAAAGGTGATCGAGAAGAAGTCATAGGTAAACATGATCATGAGGTACAGGATCAGCATCAGCTAGAAACATGACTTTTCTCTTGCTCTTCTTTCTCTTTCTCCCCAGCCCCCACGCTAACTTTTTGACAAGGACAACATTATGAAACAAAAGGCCACTTGATGAAAACATACACTTCTGGTAGATTCAGTTGTTTAAACTACATTAAAATATTCAAAGATGTTGTTCAGCTGGATGACACAAATGATGTATTTCCAACCATTCAAAAAAGAAAAAAGCCACCAAAACATGAAGTGACAGCCCAGATAGGGACTGGGAAAAGAACACACATATGAAGACATGAATTGGTGTGAACATACTTTATAGGCAAACAGAGATATGAAAAATTGTGCTCTATATGTGTAACAAGAATTGTAATGCAATCCACTGTCGTGTATTTAAAAATAAAAATTAATTAAATATTTTTTTTAAAATTCCATTTTCCAAGGTCATGGTCCTTGTTTTAAACAGTGCTAATAATTATGTATCTCTTGGGCTATTCCAAGACATGTGGATACTCCAGGGAGGGTAATAATAATTTGGCACCTTTTATAAACAAATACTCCTTACATTCTTCAGGTACTAGAGCAATGGCTACTATTATGTGGGAAAACAAAAAGGGGGAGCTGCTATGTAGACACTGTGCTTTCTTCCCTGGCAATTCCACTCTAGTTCCAATCCTACTGGCAGAACCCCCACCCTGCAGGGAGCTGCATGCTCCAAGTGGAGTTCATGAGCATCTTCTATCCTTGGACTCTCGGGGGCCTCACATCCTACCCCTTACACAGTGCTCTCCTTAAGAGGATTTATGGACAAGACCATTTTCTCCATCTTGTTAGCAGCCCTTAGAAATTGATATTCAGGACCTATCCCTGCATGGCCCAGTCCTTAATCATATGCCAAAAAGGATGATAGGGAAGAACTCTAAATGCCTACTGCCAATTGAAAGAAGCCAATCTTTAAAGGCTACATACTGTAACTATATAGAATTTTTGAAAGAGGTAAAATTATGGAGAGAGTAAAAAGATCAAGAAATGACAGGTATTAGAGGAAAGTAGGATAAATAGGCAGACACAGAAGATGTTGGGGGCAGGGAATCTCTTCTGGATGATATCATAATGGAATGCACATCATTGTGTATTGGCCCAAACCTATGGAATGCACAACTTAATGCAAATGCTGGACTTTGGGTGATGACGACTTGCCAATGAAGGCTCCTTCATGTAACACATGTGCCATCTGGTGGGAGGTGTTGATAGTGGGGAACACTGTGTGTCCCTGGGATCAGGGGAAATGTGGAATCTCTGTACTTTCTGCTTAATTTTGCTGAGAACTAATGCTGCTCTAAAAAATAGTCTATTTAAAGGGGGGAAAGAGAATGGTACACATTCACCTCCCAAGGCAATAAGGAGAAAGTCAGGATAGTGAAAAAGCAGGTCTAAAATGAGTACACACACACACACACACACACACACACACACACACACACAGGAACTTCCATTGCTTCTTTTAAAAGTGGAAAACATTTTCCATGAAGGGCCATGTAGTAAATATCTAAGGTTCTGCTGGCCGTATAAACCTTAACCCAGCTGCTCAGCTCAGCTGCAAAGCAGCCATAGACAAGACGTAAATAAATGGTGTGGCTGTGCTTCAATAAAACTCTATTTATGGATGCTGAAATTTGAATCTCATATAATTTTCATGTCATAATTTTTTTCCCAATCATTTAAAAGTAAAAAAAAAAATTATTCTAAGTGCCAGGGCCATAATTGGCCAATCCCTGCTCTCTCCACATCAATGATTCTCATTCCCTCAGTATCTGCCTCGATCTCTATCCCCACACACACACCACTCTTGCCTTACTTGAAGCCCAATATATGAAGCAGTGTAACTAGAGTAGTTTGGGACAGGGTAGACCCAGCTTATTGGGACTTCCTTAGTTCTGCCCACGTCCCCTCCATTTGTGACTGCTGACCCCCTCACAAGGTCAATTGGCTTCTCAGGACCAAGTTTGAAAACCACTATTCTAGAATCATGAAATTCTACCCCTTGACCAAACCAGTTCCCCCAGAGAGCTGTTTGCCTGAATCCCGCCTCACCCATCTGATTCCCAGAGCCCATGCGATTTAGCCTAGAGTCCAAATTGCACTGAAGAGAGCTCCTGCCAGCATCAGAAACACTCTCCAGAGGAATAAGGCAATAAGGAGAAAGTCAGGATAGTGAAAAAGCAAGTCTAAAATGAGTACACACACACACACACACACACACACCCCGGGGAACTTTGCTTGTTAAAGAGATGCCCCTGTACCTCCATATGTTCCCTTTGATAAACTCACAAGAGAAATTTCTGTCCCCAGAAATTGTGTGTGTGTGTGTGTGTGTGTTTACTCATTTTAGACCTGCTTTTTCACAATGGACCCACCTAGGGATCACCAAACACCACTGCTGCTTGCTCCTGCTCCAAGCACTCTGATTTCACCAGACCAGGGTGCAATCCAGGCATCAGGAAGTGTCCCATCTCCCTAGGTGCTTCTAATGCACAGCCAAGGTTGGGAAACACTGCATATATCCAGAACCTGTGCCTGGGGTCATTCTCCTGGGGCCATCTGGTCTTCCTGACTGCCTGCGGCTCACCTCCTGCTCTCACTCCTCCACCTCATTTCCTGTTGCTATCTCGCCCGGCACTTCCCTTTGCTCTGGTTTTCCCCGCCTTTCCTTCTCCCCGCCCCCACCCCGCCCTGCCCTCCCTTCCTGTCTTTTCTTTTCATCTATTAGTTTTTAATAAAAATATCTTATTACAGGTCAAGAATCTCTTATCCAAATTGCTTGGGACAAGAAGGGTTTCAGATTTTTTTATTTTTTTTCGTGTTCCAGAATATCTGCACATACGTAAAGAGATATCATGAAGGATGGAGCCAAAGTCTAAACACAAATTTTATTTGTTTCACATACACCTTATACATATAGCCCCAAAATCATTTTATACAATATTTTTAAAGCACCTGAATTTTAACTGTGACCTGTTACTCGACTAGTATAAAAGTAGTAATTGTTAACTATAAAAATAATTTAATTGAGTCTGGGGCTGTGGCTCAGTGGTAGAGTGCTCGCCCAGCAAGTGTGAGGCAGAGGGTTCGATTCTCAGCACCACATATAAGTAAATAAATAAAATAAATGTCCATTGACAACTAAAAGATAAATAAATAAATTATTTTATTGTACAAATGTATGAAGTAAAAAGTAAAGACTTGCCCACCCCCCAACTTCAAAGAACTCCAAGTTCTCACTCTTTAAAAAATATCTTGCTTATTAACCCTGGCCTAATTAGAGTGAAAAAAAATACTATCTTCCATCTATAAACAGGGATCTATCTCCCTTTCACTGGAAAACAAACTCCCTCCATCTTTCAAAGGGCTCAGCTGCCATCTTTGCCTCCTGTGAAATCACTGGACATTGTGTTGTATCTTCTTATTTGACCCAGTGAAGTTTTTTTTCCTTCTAAGAATGGAAACTGGCGTGGGTTTGTTTGTTGTTGTTGTTTTTCATATTCAGAAATCATTCAAGGTTGATATTAGACTACCCAGAATAGAGAAAGAAAGCCTTAAGCTTGACTCTGGGGCTCCTTTTTCATTTTCTAACAACTATAATCAGAAGAGAAGCCCGAGGAAGTTCTCTTACTCCCAAGTCAATCTCAGATCAGAATGAAGGTTTTCCTGAAGCCACGTCCAGGCCAAGACATCTCAGTGCAGCCAGGAAGAACTCTCCTGGACCTCCAAAGTCCGTGGACCCCTCTGAGCCAGCCTAGTGCACCCTCCCCTCAGCTCCGGTCCCCTGGTCCCGAGGCACCTCACTGGATCTGATCTCCCTTAAGGTGCTCCATCTCTGAAAGCCAGCAGGCCACCAGCTCCAAAACTCAGTTCTCCCATTACATCTGCTGTTCAAACCAGCACCGCCTCCTACTTGCTCCTTCTCAGTCGTCCCCGTCGCCGTCCCCCACTGCCTTGACTTCTTTCCATGGCTTACTGGAGTTCCAAGACTATCACTTCACCCATTTCCTTGCCAAGACCTCCAACTCTCCTGCACTGGTCCTTTTCTGCCACAACATCCTTCAAAATCTCCCCTCCCTGGATGGGAGTGAGGACTGGAGTTGCTCACCCACGTTCTCTGAGCTTGCACCCAGGATTCTGTGGGAACACACACACACAGCTGTAAAGGTTGGCATCACAAGGAAGATGTGGTGTCCAACTTCACTCAGGCTGCCCTCCAGCCCTCCTGTTCCCACAGTTGCTCTCTCGACTCATCACAGCAGTGGTTTCAAATCCTCTGAACTGTCTGAATCCTTCAGTGACACACTCTCCCACCAGCTGGATCACCATTTACATAACAGAGAAGGCAAAAGCCATCATTACTTAGCAACCTTCTCCTCTCCTAACACCAGGCTCACCTGTGACTTCACTCCTCCTCTGCACAAGGAAAGGGAACATTTAAACTGTGTTGTGAATTCCATCACCTCCTGCCCTTCCCATGACTGCAACTTAATAATTACTCATTTCTCCCACTTTAGTATCTTGTATGTTCAATCTCAATTTCTCAATCTTTCTCTTTCCCCTTTCCAACAGCAATTAAACTTTCTCAAGTAGACTTCTACCCTCTTTCCCCCTAAAGTTTTCTCCCTCTTCCCATTCACATTCAAAATTTTTTATAGAATTTGTCTACATTTTTTCCTACTAACCTCCCCCCATGTCCTTTGCCCACAGCATTAGATTGCCCTCCTACCCCTTATGAAATTGCTCTTACCAAGATCATCTACATTGATCTACTTTTACAATCAATCTCCTGGTCATGAATTT